ATCGATGGGCAGAAAAGGGCATCAAGCAGACACAAGGACAGATGTTCCCATGTTAAGTTTGAACTGCCTGTGTGATAGTCAGGTGGCAATGTTCAGCAGCTAACCAAACCAAAACATAACAAAACAAAAAAGGCTAGGAAATAGCAGAGGGTAAGAAGAAACTGGATTCAAAACATTCATCATGCTTATCTGAAGGACTCAGTAAGTCACTGAGCGCACAGGAACCACCGTATCTGGAGCCCACCACTCTTGAGGGTGATTGGCAGTGTCCCCTTTAAGATTTAAAATAGGGAACGGCATGTATGGAAACGCGTATACTCTGAAGAGCAAGGTAATTCACTCATTTTGCTGGACCCATTTTGAAGACAGTAGTTGCTCTTTAATGAACAGGTGAATCTTTCTGAAATCTTTTTTAAAAGCACAATGGGCAAGAAAGAGGAGCAAAAGGCAGAAAGGAGGGAGAAGCATTCACCTTTTATCTGGAACTGAATCTCAGCAGATGAAAGTCTGACAAGTCACGCTTATAAATAACATACTAACACGACAGGCTGCACAGGACAGGGCCCCACAGAATTTCAGTGCAAGTCTGAGAAACGATGCAAATTTGAGGAGTAGTTTGTAAGCCCCTTATATCGGCGGGATCGGCTGTTACAGTCACGCCCGCCCCAACCCCTCCTCCCTATGTTTGCGGTTAGTTCCCCCTTTATTCCATAAACCTGCACTGAGAACCTATGTGTTCTCAATGACTTGTGAGAGGGCCTGGGAACTAAAAAGTAAATAAGGCGAGAGCCTCACAGCCGAGTTGGATACTGCAGTGACACAGAGGTGCAGTGCTCCTGAGGCTTGGGGTCCCTGCTCTCAGCTTTGCTCATAAAAAGCAGGAGAAAGGAACCCACGCAGTGGCCTCGAAGCGTCCCTTCCCTGTGCTGCGGGCCAGCGCATGTGCACAGAGACGCTTCGGGCCATGGCAATGGCTGATGGCCGGAGGCTCAACGGAGCAAGGGGCTGCTCCGGAGGCGTGAAGGTGAGGTCCCTGCGCTGGTAACCTTTTACTGTCCTCCAGTGCACCCTGAAAATCACGTCCAGGGAGAACTCCTTGGCTGACTCTCCCTGGGCGCCTCCTCCCAGCCCCTTGCAACATCACACATAAAATACGAAAGTAAAGTTACAGGAAAAGGAAAATGAAAATATGCTGGCGAAAGGAAGTAAAAATTTCAACCACTGCTTAAGCAGGCTAATAAAAAAAAAATTGTCTGCAAAATATATCTGCATGCAAGCTTCACATTTTCCTCTGCAAAATAGTGAGGTGCAATAATTAATCCAAAGCACACAAGCCACCTGGTAGCTCAACCAATTTATCTGATGAGGGAGGAGAAAATACCCACGAACTTCTTGTGCTCATATAGAATTCTCATTCATAAAAGATGATAAGTGTAGGTATACACACACCCGCCGGTGTCTAATACTATTTTAACATGTATCATGATAATTAGCACTCTAAGCAAACTTGTCAACATACATCTTTGGTATTACCTGCCGTGAAATGAGTGAATCAGGTGATGCTGTGGAGAGCTCGAATCGCAATATTTGATGTAGAAATGTCAAATAAGAGTAATTTTAATTTTACAAGTCAAACACACACCTTGAAGTCTTAAAACCTTTCTATGTTATTCCCATTTGCTACTTGCAGAAAGGGATTAAAAACCCAATACCACCCAACAATATTGAGGGGAAAAGAAAGGAAAATAAGATACAAATAGTTAAATATTTACTGTTAGATTAAATGTGCTAAGATAATGATAAGACTTTCATATACTGTATTTGAATTGCTCCTTAGGTGAACAAGGCTGACGTTCCTCCCAGCATCCCTCTGGGAAGCACTGGTTCCTACTTCCCAAGGTTTCTGGGAAGATGAAATAAGGTGACATATAAGAAAAAGCTTCAGAAACTACCTAATGAGGAACAGAAGTCAACGATGAAGGTCGTATTTAAAATTGAAGAAAATGATTAGGAAGGAAATACAGTAATTGAGCAGGAAAATACACAGGATTTTTCTACTTAATATCATCATATGCACAAGGATAATAGAATTAAATTGTGTAGATTTATAATTTTTTAAAGTTTATTTTCACATTGCTATAATACTGTAATAAATGCAACTATGAGTAGGGGACATAGGCGAATGTCAGTATAGGGAATTAGTACTTAACTCTGTCCAATAAAAGAGCCATTCAGGCACGCTATCTGCCTAAGAGGTTCCATATCTTCCTATAGAACCAAAGGGTTTGCATGCAAGAAGAAAAATGGTCTCGGGAATCAGAAAGGCCTACCACTTATCAGCCATGTCACCTCAGGCAAGCTGGGTACTTTTTGAACCTCTGATTTTTCGCCTGTAAATACGTGCAAAGTTATTATGAAGACTGAAGGTGAAACATGGGTTAAGACACAGTAGGTGCTCAGTGGAGGGGAGTTTTCTCTTCCCTTCCCCTCACAGGGCCTTTCCTGACCACCCAGCAAACCCGGGGAAGAAAACACAGATCATTTATCACTTTACCAGCATTTATGACCTGGGAAGTTCACGTGGTAATTAATTATATATGACTGTGATATTTTAGCTACTGTTACTGAAATCTTCAATGACTATCCAACTTTCTGTGCATTTGTGGTTATTTCCAAAACCAGACAACACTGCTCCAAATCCTGACCCTCCCCAGGGTCACCTTCTTGGACCCCAGCAGTCAATGCCATGCGTGGTGCTGACCCGCCCTGCTTCCTGAGGGTAGTGGGGACCTGGGGTGGGCAGGGAGGATGGGGGATAAGAGAACGCCGCTGCCCTCCTGGGAGCCTTTCAGCCTGTGTCCTGGAGAAATTCTGCCACCACAGGCTACATCTCCTCCCTTCCCTTTAACCTGCCACCGGGCCCGGGTACAGCTCAGGATGCAAGCTCACATACCTGGATGAGATAGTGGGAACACAAACTGAGAAGCTCCAACAGCTGTAGGTGACTGCCAGCTGCTAGCACATCCTGGATCACGCCTGGCTCCAACAAAATCTGTTTTGTTTTTTAACAAAAAGAAAACTATCAGTTACTTAAAAATTAATACTGGTTTAATATGCAAATATATTTTATTTAAATTGCGTAACACACTGTATCTGAATCAGTAGTGTTTCTTAATATGGAAGTCTGTTATTTTTTTCTATTCTGAGTAATAAGCCGTGACCCCCACTCTAACACCTGAGTTCCCATTTCGGATACTCATTACCCATGAGTAAGGCCCTGCACTTGACCACTTATTTTTGTAGGAGGAGATGAACGTCTGCAAATATAAGAGTCTGAAAATTCAGTTTGTGATGGATGTAATCTTATAAAATACAAAAGAACCAAATATTAGTTTTTCAAAGTATATTTCAGAATTTTATTCTTTAGAAGATCACAGAAAGAGAACCACTAATGGGTATTTTATCGTAAGGGGGCTTATGTTTCTCCTGGCAACGTGCGACCAGTGGTGGATATGAGTCCATTTCACTTGTAAGTCCAACAACAGTAAAGTTCAATGACATACTTTAATTTTTCTCCTTCTCAATCTCAGATTCTCTTGTCCTTTCTATTTCAAATGCAAGATATAGAAATAGCATTTTCAGAATACAAAAACACATCACAGACAAGGAAAACTTCCCAAACACACTGGTGATATCAATTCTTTGTGGTTTTTTTTTTTTTCTGCTTAAATTCAACTTTGTGCCTACTTCTACCAGCTCTTGAGCTGCTGAAAGGCCTGGAGGAAAACACGCTGTCACGTTGGCTAGTTCACTTTACATGCATGACTGCGAGGCACAGGGAGGCTTTTTGTGCTGTTCCCACCCTTCTAACCGATTTCCCAAGTCCAGTGGCTCCCGAAGTCTTGTCTCTGGACCAGCAGCATGAGCATCACCCGAGACCTTGTCATATATTCTTGGGCACCTGCTTCCCCAGACCTAACGGAGCCAGAAATTTTCAGGAGGAGGCCCTGCAATGGGTGGTGCAGTGAACAAGGAACCCTGGTGGTTCTGATGCCTCGGCCAGCACGAGAAACACTGATCTGGTCAATCCACTCTTCCGGTACTAGTAGTATCATCATATGCACAAGGATAATAGAATTAAATTGTGTAGATTTATAATTTTTTAAAGTTTATTTTCACATTGCTATAATACTGTAATAAATGCAACTATGAGTAGGGGACATAGGCGAATGTCAGTATAGGGAATTAGTACTTAACTCTGTCCAATAAAAGAGCCATTCAGGCACGCTATCTGCCTAAGAGGTTCCATATCTTCCTATAGAACCAAAGGGTTTGCATGCAAGAAGAAAAATGGTCTCGGGAATCAGAAAGGCCTACCACTTATCAGCCATGTCACCTCAGGCAAGCTGGGTACTTTTTGAACCTCTGATTTTTCGCCTGTAAATACGTGCAAAGTTATTATGAAGACTGAAGGTGAAACATGGGTTAAGACACAGTAGGTGCTCAGTGGAGGGGAGTTTTCTCTTCCCTTCCCCTCACAGGGCCTTTCCTGACCACCCAGCAAACCCGGGGAAGAAAACACAGATCATTTATCACTTTACCAGCATTTATGACCTGGGAAGTTCACGTGGTAATTAATTATATATGACTGTGATATTTTAGCTACTGTTACTGAAATCTTCAATGACTATCCAACTTTCTGTGCATTTGTGGTTATTTCCAAAACCAGACAACACTGCTCCAAATCCTGACCCTCCCCAGGGTCACCTTCTTGGACCCCAGCAGTCAATGCCATGCGTGGTGCTGACCCGCCCTGCTTCCTGAGGGTAGTGGGGACCTGGGGTGGGCAGGGAGGATGGGGGATAAGAGAACGCCGCTGCCCTCCTGGGAGCCTTTCAGCCTGTGTCCTGGAGAAATTCTGCCACCACAGGCTACATCTCCTCCCTTCCCTTTAACCTGCCACCGGGCCCGGGTACAGCTCAGGATGCAAGCTCACATACCTGGATGAGATAGTGGGAACACAAACTGAGAAGCTCCAACAGCTGTAGGTGACTGCCAGCTGCTAGCACATCCTGGATCACGCCTGGCTCCAACAAAATCTGTTTTGTTTTTTAACAAAAAGAAAACTATCAGTTACTTAAAAATTAATACTGGTTTAATATGCAAATATATTTTATTTAAATTGCGTAACACACTGTATCTGAATCAGTAGTGTTTCTTAATATGGAAGTCTGTTATTTTTTTCTATTCTGAGTAATAAGCCGTGACCCCCACTCTAACACCTGAGTTCCCATTTCGGATACTCATTACCCATGAGTAAGGCCCTGCACTTGACCACTTATTTTTGTAGGAGGAGATGAACGTCTGCAAATATAAGAGTCTGAAAATTCAGTTTGTGATGGATGTAATCTTATAAAATACAAAAGAACCAAATATTAGTTTTTCAAAGTATATTTCAGAATTTTATTCTTTAGAAGATCACAGAAAGAGAACCACTAATGGGTATTTTATCGTAAGGGGGCTTATGTTTCTCCTGGCAACGTGCGACCAGTGGTGGATATGAGTCCATTTCACTTGTAAGTCCAACAACAGTAAAGTTCAATGACATACTTTAATTTTTCTCCTTCTCAATCTCAGATTCTCTTGTCCTTTCTATTTCAAATGCAAGATATAGAAATAGCATTTTCAGAATACAAAAACACATCACAGACAAGGAAAACTTCCCAAACACACTGGTGATATCAATTCTTTGTGGTTTTTTTTTTTTTCTGCTTAAATTCAACTTTGTGCCTACTTCTTCCAGCTCTTGAGCTGCTGAAAGGCCTGGAGGAAAACACGCTGTCACGTTGGCTAGTTCACTTTACATGCATGACTGCGAGGCACAGGGAGGCTTTTTGTGCTGTTCCCACCCTTCTAACCGATTTCCCAAGTCCAGTGGCTCCCGAAGTCTTGTCTCTGGACCAGCAGCATGAGCATCACCCGAGACCTTGTCATATATTCTTGGGCACCTGCTTCCCCAGACCTAACGGAGCCAGAAATTTTCAGGAGGAGGCCCTGCAATGGGTGGTGCAGTGAACAAGGAACCCTGGTGGTTCTGATGCCTCGGCCAGCACGAGAAACACTGATCTGGTCAATCCACTCTTCCGGTACTAGTAGTATTCCACTAGTACCAATTGCTGTCCTCCACACTCCACCTGTGCACCCCTGAAACCATGCCTTCCAGGGTAACAGTCACAAATGATTTTTATTTCTCAGAGAACAACCAGAAGCCTCCAAGCCCCTGTCAGACCCTCTCCAGAAACCCATTACATGCCGGCAAAACCAGCTGTTATCTAGTGCATGCTCATTGACCTTTCTGATGCCCCAGGACAAAATTCTCTGGGCAAGGGATCTAACAACACCACCTCAGGGCCTTGAGGATGAGGATCTGAGGTGGAGAGTGCCATTAATTGTTATAGCTCGGGCTTAAATTAGAAGGGAACTGGCAATAATTATTAATTAGAAGGGAACTGGCAATAAACAACAGAAAACGTGTCCTGAATCAGCATGCAATCTTGGAAATCGTTGTGGGATGGAGAAGCCCGAGTACGAATTTCCCGACCCTCAACCAATCCCACTTCACCACACTCCTTAAAAAGCCTTTTTCGCTGATGAGGCAGAGACAGATTTGACCTGGCCTCCTGTCTCTTTGCTTAGCCACCTTGCAATAAAGTTCTTTCCCTTTTGTGAAAGCTGTTGTCTGGTGTGGCTTGCCATGTGCGTGAGGTAGCAGACCCTTGCTTGATTATACTAGATCTCAACCCCTTCTGTCTGCAACTGCCCACTCCCATTCCTGCATCATTGCTTATTCTTTCTACTGGATGATAATTCCCACTAGCACACTGACATGCCGTTAGAACTCTAGAGAAATAAAAATCTCCTCCCTTGACCTCATAGTTCCCTCCATGGTTCCCCTCATAATAAAACTCCTCAGGAAAGTTGTCTATAAAAAAATACCACTATTTGCTCTAGCCTGTTCTCTCTTGAACCCACTCCTGTTAGGTTTTACTTCCACTGTTCCTCCTAAAATGTTCTCATCAAGATCACCAGTGACCTCCAAATCCAATGGCCATTTCTCAGCATTTAATCTTACTCAAGCAGCAGCTGTTAGCAAAGGTGACTGCTTGGCCCCTGGGGCAACACGCCATTCCTGGTTTCTGGCAATAAACAACCTAAACGGGTCCGGAATCAGTTCCTTTGCTATGGCCTCTCCATCTCCTTCCCAACCATAAGTTCTGGAGCTGCCCAGAACTATTCCTTTTATATTCTCTCCCCACATTCTGTGGGTGATCTCATGTAATCCCATGGCTTTAAAACCATCTATACACAGTTTACACTCAGATTTGTTTCTCCGGTCCCTAAACTCATTCTTGGCCTCCAGACGTGTACCCCACTGCCTGTTCAGTATCACCACCTGGATGTCTAATGAGCAGCTCAAGCTGAACGTGCACTGGACTGAGCTCCCCGTCCTTCCCACCAACCCCCAAACCTGCTCCTGTCCTATCCGACCATCTCAGCGAACAGCAACTCTCGGTTATTTAGGCTAAAACCCCAGAGCCCTCCTGACTCTGTGATTTCCTAATATCTTGCATCCGATCCATCAGCCACTCCTAGTGGTTCTGTCTTCACAACAGCTTCTGAACCCACTGACCACTCATACGACTTGCGTCATGATGGGTCTAGTCCAGCCCACTGTCTCCCTAGACTACAATGGCCTCCAAACTCATGGCACTGCTTTCTCCTTTGCCTACTCACGATGCTTGTAACAATATCAAACAAGTTTGTCCTTTAAAAAAAGAAACGCAATTGTGTCACTCCTTGATTCAGAACTCTCCAGTGACTTTCTATCTCATTGAAAAGTACATCCAAAGTCTTCACCATGAAATAAAAGGTTCTTTGAATATGCGGAGTACTTGAGTGTTTCCCGCTAGCTGCTGTTTCCTCTGCCTGGATCACATCTCCTGGAGATGTCAGGGTGGGGTATTCCCTCATGCCCTTCAGACCTGTGCTCAGGTATCATCTTCCCTGAGGCCATCTCTGTCCATCCCATGTAAGTAGTACCCACTCGCCATCACCCCTTACTCCCTAGCTCCTTACTTCTCTTTATTCTTCTTCATAGCCCTACCACCTCTCAACAAAGTGCGTATTTGCCTATTTGATTATTTCCTGTTTCTCCACTCACTAGGATACAAGACCCGGGAGAGCAGGCACTTGATCCATTTTGTGTCCCCAGTGCTCATTAGAATAATGCCTGACACATAACTTTCACTTCAAATTGATGATTCATTCTATAATAAATTATTGATGAATTAACTTACTTCCAGATATATTTTTAAACTCAGAATTAATTTTATTACTAATCTACCATAACAGAAAAGAGGAAAAAGAATTAAATTATATTTCTGAACTACTAAAGAAGCGAAAAAGTTAAGTCCATGTGGCAAAAACACCAATATTCATCTTATTCTGAAGATTCCCTGTAGCTCCGTGCCCATCCAGTCAGAAGGAGAAACCTGAATTTCCCCCCAACTCCTCCATGAGAGAGGCTTTGACTGACATTCGGGGAATTATTGCAGCTCGCATTGCCGGAGCAAGGATGAAGTATATTCTTACAGAAGAGGCACGGCCCAAGGCACAGAACGGGGAATAGGTGGATTAGAAAGGTTAGTCTCAGCCTTTAAATCCTGTCAGTTGCGCTTCTTTCACACAACTGGCATTCGTGATAATCTCTAAGGCTCGGTGATGCCAAACACAAAGACGGGTATCACAGAGACACGAGATGCATATTCCACAGCACGTGGAACACGCCCAGCGGGCTCACTTTGAGAAGCTCTCGTGTGAGAAATCCATATTGGCATTGTTTTTGTCTTTGTTTCTTGTTTTTTTGTTCTGTAGTTTTTTTTCTTCTCTCATAATAACATAAGTTTTTCTAAAAGATGCTTTAGCACAGAAAATCCCTTGGTGCTTTCAAAGGGAGCGGTTTGGCAAAAAACAAAAAACAAAAAACAAAATACAAACCCTACCAGGAAATCTGGGTCTCACTTTTGGAAACAGAATTAGTGTCTGCAAACCCCACTTGCACTGGAGTCTTTTAAATTCAGCTCTGTTGATCTTTACTGACTGGCTGTTCTACTGTATTTTTCCAGAGAATTTGGGTTTGGGCAGGAATACAAACAAATTTCAATCTCACAAAATACAATATGGTGAATTTGGATATCATTTGCCTAGGAGAACTGGCCAGAAGGACCTTCAGTAGAAGGAAGGGGTCCCAACCATGCCCATTTCTGAAGGGCAGCTAAGACAGCTACGTTTCAGTGCTGCAAAGCACACGTGGTCTGGCACTCAAAGCAGTGGAAGGAAAGGTCACTCACCACAGTGGAGGAACTTGGCTCAGATGGAGGCATCAATAACAGATGAGGCAAATGTCTGAATAACAGAAGACATCAAGGAGTGCAGGGCCTGTACAGCCCAGTGGCCCAGAAAGCAGCGGGAAAGGGAAAACCATTCCCGCTGCCCGGCTGGGCTGGACATTACCTCCTACTTCAGTGACGCTCACCCGCTTGGGCGAAGGCTCTGCTGGGGCTCCAGAATGGACAGAGGTGTTGATGCAAGCGTGGGTGGGGCATGAGTGCCTCTGGCTCGCAGGGCCATCTGTATGGAATATTCTCTCCCTGCCACTAACTCACACCTGACCTCTAGGTGGCAGAAATACTAGGGGCTGATGTTGAAACAGCAGAGCTAGACAAGGCTAGCCGGGCGGCGACCACCTCACTGTGGAAGTTCCCCTGCAGGGTATGGCAGGCTAGGTTATGTGAGCTGAGGAAAGGTTCACAGCTGGCGCCTACCCCACATGCTGAGACTTTGGACTCATTTTGATAAACCAGGGATAAGAACTGGCCAGTGGCTGGGGTCAGGATGTCACAGGGTGGTGTGACAAGGTAATAGAGGTAAAAGCCACAATTACCGCAGAAGGCGGTGGTCTTCGAAGATGCCAGTGATAGTTCCTGCATCAGAATTCACTCACAAAGTGGTCCATTGCCCCCTGGAAGGAGGATCTCTT